TAATATGGTCAGGGGGTATCTGAGCATAGAGTTATATGATAAAATTCCATCAGTACACCTCTCTTAAGAAATAGGAAGAAGATCTTGCATTAAGGGCCACGCTGCATATACTAACCAGTACAACATCTGGCTACGTTAGGGTGTTAGCACATGCGCAATATCTCACCAGAGAAGTTATATTTTGTTATCAATATGCATTTAATATGATCAGGGGGTATCTCAGCATAGATTTATATGATAAAATTCCATCAGTACACCTCTCTTAAGAAATAGGAAGAAGATCTTGCATGTAAGGGCCACGCTGCATATACTAGCCAGTACAAAATCTGGCTACGTTAGGGTGTTAGCGCATGCGCAATATCTCACCAGAGAAGCTATATTTTGTGATCAATATCCATTTAATATGGTCAGAGGGTATCTCAGCATAGATTTATGTAATAAATTCTTATCAGTAGCCCTGTGTTTATAATTATGAGAGCGCCCTAGCCTGTAGGGTGCATAACTCCTACTTCACCCAATCCTGTCACTTCCCCCGCTATATCTAGCGGTGCCCAGTGACCCCAAGCAGTTGCAGAAATTCTTAGGCATCGTCACATACATGTCTCCGTTCATCCCGAACCTATCGCAAGTGACTGCACCTCTGCGAGAGCTCATGAAAGGAGGAACAGAGTTCCAGTGGTCCCCGTCACATCAGATCGCTTTCGAGAAAATAATCGAGCTGATCTGCCGAGAGGTCACCCTCAGCTACTTCGACCTAAAGCAAGAGTCTGTACTGCAGGTCGATGCATCCAGTAAGGGCCTCGGCGCCGTATTGCTACAACACGACAGACCAGTGGCATTTGCGTCAAAGGCATTGAGTGACTGCGAGCAGAGATACGCCAACATTGAACGCGAGCTACTAGCCATCGTATTCGGGTGTGAGAAATTCCACATATACTTGTACGGCAAGCGCTTCACAGTCGAGTCGGATCACAATCCGCTTGAAATGATCCACTTGAAAAACTTGGCAGCTGCACCGCAGCGACTGCAACGCATGTTGCTACGCATTCAACCGTACGACATCAGAATCCGATACCGGCCAGGAAGAGAGGTGCTGATAGCTGACGCACTCTCGAGATCACCTGGGAATGACTGCGCTACGATCGACCTGGACATAAGAGTGGACTACGCACAGTGGTCGACCCAGAAGCGCCAAACACTGCGCGACAGCACACGCAGCGACGCAGAGCTTAGTGTGTTAATGAATATTGTCGTCACAGGGTAGACGGAAAGGCAAAAACAGCTTCCGCTTCCGCTGCGTCCATATTGGTCATACAGGGACGAGCTCACCGTAGACGATGGTGTCATCATGAAAGGTGATCGTGTAATAGTTCCAGCAAACACGCGGACGGACATTCTGGCTCGGCTACATGAGTCGCACCAAGGTATCGAGAAAACGAAGTTGAGAGCGCGAACATGTGTGTACTGGAACAATATAAACTCGGATATAGAGAAACTGGTCCGAAAGTGCAGCATATGCCAGCAAGCTCAGAGGACGCAGAGTCACGAGCCGCTGCTGCAGCATGAGCTTCCAACCCGGTCCTGGCAAGTCCTGGGTACGGACCTATTCTACCTGTCAGGTGATGAATACCTAATCATCAGTGATTACTACTCAAAGCTCCTCTTCGTCAAGAAAATTGGCGGCAGAGCTAAGAGTCAGGTCATTGTAAGAGTATCTTAACTTAACTGAACATATAACTAAGAGTATCTTCGCTGAACAAAGAGTACCTGAGACCGTAATAAGCGATAACGGTCCACAGTTCGATGGTCAACCTTACAAGGTTTTCGCCGAGAAGTGGGGTTTTGACCATGTAACAGCGAACCCTCATTACCCGCAGTCAAACGGGCTGATTGAACGCCAGGTACAGACCGTGAAACACGTCCTGACTAAAGCCAGAGCAGCAGGAATTGACGTAGACATGGCAATGTTAGTGCTCAGGTCTACACCGATAGACCATCACCTCCCGTCACCAGCTGAACTGTTGAACGCGAGGAGAATGAAAGTGAACCTCCCCACGAGGATATACAACAACGCACCCAATAAGGATGCGACCATGCAGAGGCTTCTACTGCGGCAGGCATTTTAAAAGGCATATGACGAGAAGGCCGGAGGAAGCCTGGCCCCGCTTATCAAAGGACAACCCGTTCGGATACAAGACCAGACATCAGGCCAGTGGCGTCCAGGAATAGTCACTGGGATCCGTCCAGAACAACGCTCGTATGAGGTACACACGCCCTCTGGTGTTACATTGAAGAGGAACCGGCGTCACATTAGGGAGACGTGTGAGGAGGCGAACACCTCAGCTCAAGCCGATATACCCGTGCAACCTACCAGCGATCCTGAGACAGCCGCCAGAATGGATACGCAGAGCACACCAGTACATCCAGCGATATGCGTCTGTTTCCTACAGGATGCCGGAACCAACTGCCATCCAGTGGGTGATGATAATAGTGCTTTCAGCGAGGCTGTAGCTCACACCTATCGTACGCGATCAGGTAGAGCAGTCATTCCAACAAAGGGGTTTGGCCTGTAAAGATGATTTTGAGTCATATTCAAATGACATTGTGTAGTTCATTTTGTGTTAATGTTACTACTGTTGTGTTATGTTACTTGTATGTTATATAGTGAGTTACGTCTGTTCATACCCATTATGTTAATGGTTTTATAGGTAGTCGGTTACATCCTGTTTAACGTAAAATCCGCCCAACTTATTTTCCGTCGTCAATGAACAAAGCAGGACAATCAAACGGCGATTTATCATCACTGAAATTGGCACTCTGTAAATAGCGCGTATCATTAGTGCGCTACGCCCTCAGCTTTATTGATCCAATCAGACGCCGTCTCTATATGCCCTTCTTAAAAGAAAAGGTGATTGTCATATGTAACGGGGGCGCCCATGCAGGACAGGCGACATTTTGTACCTATTAAAACTTGACAAAAATTGAGTTTTGTTGAACACAAAACTGAATTCTGTCAATCCTGTCCACAAAACTCCAATTTTGTGAACACAAAACTCAATTCTGTCAAACGCGTTCCACAAAAAAACTCATTTTTGTAAAACACAAACACTTCAATTCTTGTGGACCGGTTCCCCAAAAAACTCCAATTTTTTTGTAAAACACAAAAACTCAATTTTCTGGGTCGAACCGGTCACAAAACTTCAATTTTGTAAACACAAAAAATCTCAAATTCTGGTCTTTAACCGGCATTCCACAAAACTCGATTTTGTTGCCCAATATATGGCAACACGCCATTGTCAACGAATGTAATGGCTACCATTGGTTTCTTCTGGCACCAATGGTACGCCCTTTCTTACATTTGCTCCGTGTGTCATTATCTTGGCAAACAAAATCGAATTTGAGCCCTGTCCTTGCATGTGTACGCAGTTTTTGTGGGACTACGCAGGCGCCATTACGGGGCCGCCATGCCAGTGACAGGCTCAATTTCTGCTCGGCAACCGCGGTTCCACAGAAACTCGATTTTGTTGCCAAAATATGGCCCACACACATGTAAAGAAGGGCTACATTTAGGTCAGTAAAGAAACAAATGGTAGCCCTTTCTTACATGCGTGGTTGCCATTATTTGGGCAAACAAAATTCGTAGAGTTTTGGGAATCGTTTCAGACAAGAATTGAGTTTTTGTGTTTTACAAATTGAGTTTTGTGCGACCGCGTTCGACAGAATTGAGTTTTGTTTGTTTACAAAATTGATTTTGTGGAACCTGGTTCGAACCAGAATTGAGTTTTGTTGGCGAACAGGGATTGACGAATTGAGTTTTTGTGCTTTCACAAAATTTGAGTTTTGATGGAACCGCGATTGACAGAATGAGTTTTGTGTTTACAAAAAATTGAGTTTATTGTGCCGCTACAAGTTGATTGACAGAATGAGTTTGTGCTTCCACAAAATTTTGAGTTTTGCTGAGACAGAATGCAGTTTTTGGCCTAGACAAAATTGGA